CCGTGATACCCTCCAGTATTGCACCGCGTCCAAAAAATGGACAAAAAAAAACACCAGAAGCACCAGAAATGATCCGAAAAGTGAAGGCAGGATCGAAATTCGTATCGCAGTGGTAAAGAAATGGCTCATGAGCTTAACATATCGCGAAAGCGGATGTAATATATATTGAAAAATGAGCTTGGACCAGAGCCATTGAAGTTCCAAAAAGTGCAAGAGTTCATAGATGCACAGAAAATAGTTAGACGGGATAGAGCCAAGGAGTTGGTTCGCTTGCACGAAAGTGGCTAGCTACCGAAATGACTTAAAAAAGAGGTTTTTTGCTTCATGTCCATCGCACAATGTCCACCAAAATCTCTGGAACTAAATCCGTTGGAATTTTGTGCCTGGGGCCTCTTGAAGAGTAAGGTTTGCACTAAAAATACCAAATTGTCGATCATTTCCAAAAGGCGCCTCGCCGGTAATGGGCCAAAATACCCCAGAGCCACTTTCGTGCATCGATTTCCGCCGTTTGAAGGCCAAAATTCGTGCCAAAGATGACCAATTAGAGCAAATCTAAACTGATTCTAAAATTTGATATTTTCGCTATTTTTGCTTTTAAACAATAAAATTTAAAATGAAAATATAGCGCTTTACTTTGTTGCATTACATATCAGGCACCCTGTATATACCCACAAGCATAGTTACACCAATTTTTTCTAAACTATGCCAAAATGTTCAGAATCAAAAGGTTCTGTAAAAATATGCAAAATATTTGATTTTAGATTTTTTTGCGAATACTATAACTTACCCCACGAGATTATAATTAACTTCCCGTATTACCCTACTTACAATATTCACAAAAAAAACGAAAATGAAAATTTTTATCTTCGTTTCGGAGGTTTCTGAACATTTCGGCATACCTTGGAATTAGTGGGGTGCATGGCATCGTGCCTTAAGGCAAATTAAATATTTAAGGAATTAAATATTTATGCCATAATTAAAAATTTGAGGAATAAAAATAATCAATAATTGCTTGAAAGAAATTTGCTCATTTAATTTAATTTGTTTTTTTTTGATAATTTAGAAATCAAATTTAAATTTTGAAATTATATTAAAATTTGTTTTATTAGAAGTTTGAAGTTTTCTGGAATTAAAAAAAAAAGTTTTGCCAGTCAATTTATTTATTTAGTCAATATAAAAAAAAATGATTTTTGAGTTATTCAAATCGGACGCTTTGTTCTCTCAAAAACTGAATTACCGTTTTTTGCTCTTTTTGCCCCAGGTCTAGCCATATCTTCGAAACGGCTAGACCTGCGTATGCTTAAAAACTAATCAGCACGTCTCCTCATCAGTACGAATCGAATGTTTTTTTTAAATTATTCAAATCGATTGATCCGTATTCCCGAAATCGTCGATGAAAATTTGTATCTGCACACACACACACATACATCCATTTTTTCTTAGATTTGCCAAAATGTTCAGAAATCTTTGAAACGTAAAGTATATTAAACAATACTAAATTTTCCAAAATTTGATACAAACTAACGTAAGTCAAATCATTTGTGTGCGATTGGTGCGATGCGACTTTCAATTAGATCACCCAAGTAAAAACGAATCGACCTGTTCATTGTAAATACATGACACATCGGTAAAAAAATTATACCTGAGATGAAACAAAATGTTCGTATACATTCGTTTAGTTAATAATTTATCTGTACAATACCTAATTGCACAAAATACAAATTTGATTGTCCTATTTTTTATTCTAATATTGCAAATTTTATGCAGAACTTCGCAAATAAGTTTATTGGACTTCGTGAAAAACCTCTGGTCACATATGAAGTGCGACAGTTAGAAATGTAGGAACTTTTGCGAAATAAAAAACTTTTACGAATGTGTTCACATACGCACTTTATCATTTAAAGAGAAAAACAGTATGCAGTAGGTTTAACTAGACTTTAATAAATAAGTTAAATCTTTCGACGCATTACTTTTGCAGAAATATTCAATTAGCCCGGCCTGATGATGATTGAATGAAAGTGAGTGAAATTTAATGCTGACGCAAAAAAAATTACATACCAACCAGCTAGTGCAAGCACAACATTCAAACACGAAAAATACGATTGCCGGAAAAATATTGATTCACGTATAAATGAATGCTGTAAGCAATTTGATCTTGACAATGCAAGCATGGACAAGGCTCTTTATTTTATTTATCTTAAGCAAGCCATTGTGATAAAATAATATTATTTAAAGTTTATTAAATTTATTCAATTTAAAGCAAACCTCTATCAATCAGATTAAACTATGGAGTCGTTTAAACATACTCAATGGCAATAAGAATATCATAATCATATTAGAAATATTAGATAGAGATCTAGAAACATAGTGTTGAATGTAAAAACCCTTTTTAAAATGCAGCGAATTTATGTATAATGATTCAATGAATTTAATAATTAGTGCTTTTGTATTTTGATTACTTGTTAGAGCATTAAAGTAAGTTATAAAATAAATAATATTAATAATGTGATCTATATTCGTAGGCTCATCAGGAGTATATATAAATCAGTGTTTTCGATCTAAGCTATACCCCACTTTTGCATTTCTAAAAATCTTAGCCTTTAAAATTTATTTTGCTTTTAAAGAAATAGAAATAATTTATATCAAACATATTTAAGTGTAATTTATTACGTGTCGATTAGATCGACGTTTCTAAGACCACAGTAAAAAATAATAATACAATAGCCTTAAGTTTTCAAGAATAAATATTTTGTTGAACTATGAATTTAATGCTGTTAAAATCTTTGGGAGACCCTCTTTTGAAAAAAAGTTCACTACAGTGTGTTGGCTAGTTTCACCAAAAGTTGGCGATTGGGATTGTGAAATGGTAAAGTACTTGATAATTTTATTATTGAAAATTTTCGAGTAAAAAAATTAAAACCTAAAATTGAGACGAGACGATAGCGGTTAATTGTTAACCGATACCGTCTCATTTTTAGGCCGTCATTTTTTTACTTTGATGAAATTTACTAAACACATTTTAATACATTTTTTGAGAGGAGGGCATTTCGAAGAGGAAACTTTCAAAAAGTTAGGAGTTTATTTTTGTTGATTTTTGGCTGATAGAAAGAATGTTTTTGACACAAATAATAAAAGTGTATGGGAATTTATTAATTTATAAGTGTAAGGATATGAACTGTATTCCACAGACTTTCTATGGATTTTTGAACTAAATATTAAAATTTCATTTTGCAACAAAAGTAACCCTAAGAAACGAATTTGAAAACATCAAGCCCTGAAGAGTAGGAATATCAAATTTTTCCTACAGTTTTCTTTTATAGCTTCTACTGCCGTTTTAAATAGTTTGATATTTATAAATATTCGATGCTCCAAAACTGTTTTATAAATTCACATTATCTTGGAAATATTTGAAAAATCCGTATGGGCAAAAGTATGGTGCATTGTCCGCAAGAAATTTTCAAGAGATCTTAAGATGGGTAAAGTTTTCTTACAAAATAAAATAGCTTTACATATAATTAAAAATAATGAATATATTTACCTTATGCGCGTTTGCGGAAAACTGCGATAATCATTTATAGATTATGATGATTTTAGTTTTTCTAAAGTTGTTTTTGAACGCACGCAATGCGTGTGAAAAGTCTTGAATTTCTAAAAATGTCTTTATTGTGATATTTATGAAATTAAAAATCGAAATTTTTGATTAAGTTTTGCTAACGCATATTGCTGGGCTGGGGCCCTTGAGGTTCCGTATAATCGATGGCAGATACGCAACTGTGATTCATTTAACAAAAATTTGATATAAGCATTCTTTTAATATTTTTTTTAATTGTGTTCTCTTAGGCAAATGATTTTTATTAGTATATTAAAATATTAACATTATTATAAAAAATCATTTAATAATAAAAATGAAATTGAAGGAAAAGGACCTACGTAAAGTGTCGATATAATCTATGGAGCACATATTTATATTTTAAAACTAAAGTTTGAAATACTAAATGCTCCAGAAAAATAATTTATACTTAATTTATAATTTATGCTTAAGAAAAACGCAAATATTTTCCAAAATGGTTTGGAATCCGAATCGAGGTTTAAAAAGTGCTTGAATTGTTTAGCAATAAAACCTCTTCAACGTTTTGTTAGACAATTTCAAAATGATATCTATATTTTTGTATGAGTAGTGTGATACGTGTCGAGTTAAATGATGTAATAAAAATTAAATAGCTTTGAGGAACAACGAAAGGAAGATGCACGAAGAAATGCTATTGGGATTAAATCATTTGCGAATTGTGGGATTCTGCCATGAAACAGACTAATGTTTTGGCAAGGTTATATTACGTGAAAGTTTTTATACAAAATCGTACTAAATACTGTCAAAATGCCATGCATTTGTTATACGAACAGGCGTTTTACACGCAATATGCAACTTCACTCATATGTTATTAAACCGTATCACAAATATCCAGTTATCATAACATTGTTTGTTTTTGACCTTTGTGCGTTTTCTAGGTTAGGTTCTGTATCTAAAGCACTTGACTCTACAGCAACCACTTGGTTTTTGACAGTATTTAGTACGATTTTGTATGAAAGCTGCTACATAACATACCCTTCTCATAACATTGGTCTATTCTACGGCAGGATCGGCCTCTTAATGAATTTTAATAAGTGAATGAAAATACAAGGCTAAAATAATAATAAGTTCACATGCACACATGCAACATTCACAAATATCAGTATTGCAAAAAATCAATGACGATTTACTCAATAAATATTGATTTTTATTCTATTGCACTTTTGCAATACTTGCTTTAGTGAATGCGAAATTCGTACAGTGGTAAATGCAACAATTATTGATTTGCAATTGCCAATGACCGTACTCGCTAAAAATAATTGAAGACTATGGTCAAAAACTTGTGGTATTTCTAACTACCAAGTATTTATATAAAAGCATTTCAGGATGAGGGATGCAAATAAGAATAGGCTCAAATTTGATTTCTCGGCACCTGTTTCTGTGCCATTGCTTGCATTTGCTGGAACATCTGTCTTTCTTCTTCTTTACCTGAAAAAAAAAACAGTTTTGACAATATTGTAAAACAATTATGATTATTTAGACTAAATAACTAGGACCTAAATAATTCAGTGAAATTTTGTCATTTTAAAATATTTAGAAAAAGATCTCATGTTAATTTACTCTATTATTATCGTATGAATCTGAAATTTTTACTTATTAATAATTTATTGTAGTACCTAAAAATGCGCTAATATTAAAACTTATGAATATATAATTGAAAGAAATCCAGTTAAAGGGTTTATTTTTATCTTTTCGAATAAGAAAATTGCATTTATTTCTGAATTGTTTGACACCAACATTTGAAAAAGTATGTGTGTGTGCATGTGAGCTAAAATTTGGCCTTTTGTTGGCGTCTTTTCAGAAACGGCTGAACCGATTTTAAAAATGTAAAAGCCAATAAGGACTCACGTTGATTTGATTTGCGCGACAATCTGCCGAACCGTTTCTTTATAATTAGCAAAAAAAGTGCAAAATTGGCTGTCTAGGTTTTTGCAAAAACTTTGGAACCGATTATGAAAACTTAAAAACTGTTGGAAAAATTAGTTGGCAATCATGGTGGTTAGTTTTAGATAAACATTGACCGGGCGGTTTCCTCATTATTAGGGGCTAAAAAATATTTTTTAATTTTTATGAACTTTGTTTAATGATAGAGGTCATGATCTTAATGAACGTTCTAAATTATTATCGGTCTATGAAAATAGTTAATTATAAAAATGAATTAAAGTTTGGAATAATGGGTTGTGCTAAAATTTCAAATTCTGTATCGTTTAAGTTAATTGTCGGATTAAGCCAAATATTGAAAAGCTCATGCAACTTGTCTTCAGGCAAATTACCACTTATAACTAGTTAAGAAACGATTTGATGTTTACAAGGTATATAATTTAAATTTCAACATTGTAGTGTCCCATACAAAACAGCACTCATATTTTCATAAATTGTATAAGAATATTTTAATATAAAATAGATAATACATTCAGAACACTTTAGTTTACCGAATAAGCATGAAACTAACATTTTTTTCGTGTTTCTTATTTTTTGTGTCGTTGAATGTACCAGGGATTTAGGACGTCTCTCATTTCTATCTGATCCAACGAAATAACATGTCATTTTGAAATGACTAAAAATATGAGTTCTTAGCAGAGAGTCGTATAGTATACACATATACATATACACATATATATATATATATATATATATATATATATATATATATAATGGGCGGCCTGTCAGTGAGCTCATTTAAACGCGAAATCGAATCAGGGAACTTTATTGTAGGTGATTTCCCATTGCTATTTTGCACTCCAATGCTCAATCATTTTTTTTATTAAAAAATACAAATTTAATATGTTTACTGAATATATATACATATATATATTAAATATATCAATTGTCACTTGCCAATGCAAGGAATAGTTGGTGTTTTATATTCAAAAGTCAAAATATAGTTTTTAAATAAAATATTAAAGAATGTTTAGTAATAAGTGACTGTTATTGAAAATTACACTGAAGATGAGGCACACCTTGGTCTCGAAACGTTTGTAATCATAAAATAAAGTTGTGTCAACAAAATCTGAGTGCTGTTTTGTTCATAATAAACATTTAATATTCGTTCCACTCATATCATAAAATTCTATATATATATATATATATATATATATACACCTAAGTCTGTTTTTACACGGTCTTTTTGTACACGGTTTTGATATAACACGGTTTGAAAATTGAATATTTTTAATTTTTTTACACAATTTTATTCCATTTAGCACGATTTGAAATTTTATGTACTTAATTTTTTTTGTCATATTTAATTTTTGCGAAGTATGTTTATATTACAAAAAAGTATTTATGAAAGAAAAAAGTCTGAAACCATCGATAGTATCGATAGTTTGCGAACACTAGCTTAAAGATTTAAGTGAATTCCCCTTTAGCGCGTACAAACAATTTTTACTGGTCAAAGCAAATGTGAATTTAATTCTTGTTCTTAAAAATTTTCACCAATTTTAATAGGTTTTAGAGATTAGGAACAAATCACCCATTTTTGTATAAGATCTATGTCTTTTTTTACACGTTTTTTTTTTTACACGGCTTCTTCTGGAACCAATCTCCGTGTAAAAACAGACTTAGGTGTATATATATATATATATATATATATATATATATATATATATATATAGTAAAGTGGACAGAAGTGGGCCAAGTTTTTTTTTTGGTTGTAAAATGGTTAAAAATAAAAATATTTTCATAATTTTCATAGCAGATGCTTGCAATTATGTTAGGAAGTATCTCTTCTTTTGAATGGCAAAAAATGTATTTAAAGTGTTTTTCGAAAATGTAGGGAGAATTGGACCACCCAAATTTTTATCTAAAAAAAATGCTGCTATATGCTTCAGTAAAAATGTTCATTTAATGTCTGAAAAGAAGTAATACAGTTGGAATTATAAAATTGATGAAAAAAGAAAACATTTTGTAACAATCAAGCACATATTCTAGGCATAATTGGTGCACGTCAAGTCGGTGCAGTTGGTCATATCCACTTCAAGTGGAAGGGCCTGTCGTAGTTATCGCACTCGAAGGACTTTTTTCTTGACATCTATGCCAACATCAATCTATGGCAAATCATGCCAAAATCGTTGTCTTCACTTGTAGAAATCGTAGAATTTCATTTTTTGCCTTTTTTACAGATGATTTTGAAGTATTGGCCTTCTTGGAAACTTTTGCTGGTACTTGCAACCCTTGACCCTGTGCTGCTTCTGCCGCGACCGTTCTGTTTTTAGGGGATGTATTGAGGCGTCGAAAAGACAATCTCTTAACGTTGGTAACATCAGAAGCAACACTCTCCGGTATTTTATTTATTTTCACTTCCTTCAAAGCATAATCAACTGTTCATAATTCACCACTTTTTTGGAGTTTTCTGTTTTCTTAGGAGGCATTATGAATGAAGACATAAAAATAAGTAAATAAGACGTTCGATCAATTAATAAAAATATTTTGCTGTACAAAGAACGGCATTGCGCAAGTGGCCCATGTCTGTCGATAAATAGTGGCCCACTTCTATCTACAAACGCCTTTTTTCGCATATGCATCCCACAAAAACACAATGTAAATAATCGGCAAAAATTACTTTGCATTTTAAAGATTATATGTCTATATAATATATTACTAGTAATACTATTACTAGTATTTTTCTCGTGAAAATTCGATGACAAATCACGTAAGAGCATACGACGCTAAAAACTTTCTCAAAGAAATTCTTAGCGCTTTTTCTCTGTAAAGTGCGAGAGTAGGTTTATAACCTCCAAATGCTTTTTAAAATTGAGCAAGTATCAAAGTATGATAAATATGTGCGCGGTTCGACATACATGTCAATAGTCTTAAAGTTAATCTGCTGGCCCACTCCAACCTGTGGCCCACTTCTGTCCACTTCACTATATATATATTTTGGAACGCAGAATCGAACTGAGTATCTTGTGGATACTTTTGTATAAATACTTCAATTTCAGATGAAAAAAATATATAAAAATATAAGTAAAAGTTTTATTAAGTAATCCATCAAGTTATTAAAAGATCAAATCTCTGTCAGGTATAAAAGTGTTTTTGCTTCTTTTGCTAATTTCTAATATACCTAGTAAGATTAATGAACATATAGTAGTAAAGAAAATAATATTAAATAAGAAGAAAGATGTAAAAGTATGATATAATTCATGCTAAGGATTTAAAAATATGTATACAATAACTAAAAAACTTGTAATTTACATAAAATATTAAATATACATAAAAACTAGGTGTATTTAGTATTTTGCCTTGAGGCAAAATACATGAAGTTCCCGATTACGCGCAAAACTGGACTTAATTTACAACGATTGAACTTTAGCTGTTTAGATAACTTTTTAAACTGTTTGAAAATACAGATATTTTTCCACTGAAAACTAATTAAGTTTTAATTAATATTTTTCTACATGTTAATGAATTTTTATATTTTAGGAACATTTCGTATGACTATAATATTTTAGGAAGTTTGTTTAGAGTTTTAGACTATAAACTATACTGCCATGTTGAGTTTCATTAAAAACGCAAAAAATGAACATTTAAATACAAAGATATAGCCTGACCGATACTTGCCCAAATTTAATCAGCACGATTTTCAACTAATATTTCTCGTTTTTGAATTTTGAAGATTGTTCAAGAGTTTTTTTTACAAAAACGTAGATAATGAAGTGTGTACTTTACTGCCAACATGACTTGAACTGTCGAGAAAATATGAAAGTTGTATTTTTTGGCGAAAGTATAAACTTCTCTTTGAAATTTACTAGCTGACCAGGCAAACGTTGCTATGCCATCAAAAATATTTTGCCGCTTTGCAGTGGCTCTTATTATTTGAAAGTGGGTTGAAATTTGAATCTGATGGATCAGCATGGATCAATACTATTGATCATAATTTCCTTAAATTTTATATTTATAAACAAATTAAAAAAAAACAATAAATTAAAGTTTAGAATAAATTTACAAAATTTATCATAAGTGATAAAGTGGTAATTAGTATCTTTATTTTTCAATTCCTAACCAGAAATATTTGAGAAATATCAAAATATTTATTTTTCAATAATATAATGGGCCTAAATGGGATCTATATGCATACGGTGAGCAAAACAAATTTTAAATCGGTTTAATATTTTAGGCGTCCATCGCAGCCAAACAATGTGACACTGACTTAATATATATTAAGATATATATACAGTAAACCCTCGCTTTACGCGGCAAGTGCGTACCGTGCAGTATGGGAACCGTGCTATAAGAAACTCGTATTTAACATACAATTCAGGATAATTCGTAGTGCGTTCTATGGAACCTTACATAGTGCAGTATGGGAACCGCGCTATGAGAGACTCAGAGTTGGTACAAATCGTACCATTTTTATCGCGCTGTATGGAGACCAAGGAATACAACTTGAAGTAGGAGTAATACGGACAAAATGACATGTAGGACATTGATACCTTATTCAAAAATTGGCGCGACACAGTAGTCAGCTCAAACGTGTTCTTAGGCAGCTATTATATAATCAGGCATGTCTAAAAGATAAAAGTCGATAACAAAATTTACATCAATACCCGTTTGCACAACGAACTTATGGGCTGTTGACTAAATACCGTGTAATAAGAAGTCCGTGTAGTTGGAGGGATGTCGGATTTTTAGCTCCGTGTAGTATGGGAACAGTGTACCCAGAGTGCCGTGTAAAGCGAGGGCCTACTGTATATATATACATATATACATATATATATATATATATATATATATATATATATATATAATAAAAAAACTTTAAAGTAAAAATTAATAAAGTATACTTATATTAGTCTAGCCTATTTTTATTTTGATGTTGGAGGCCTATATCTAGTCTTTCATTTTATATTTTAATTTTATAACTATGTTGGTCATATTCAATAACTGTTTTAATTTTTTATTAATGCTTTATATTAAATTTATTCATTCGTATATGTAATCTCACTGAATATAAACCAATTCTTGAATTTTCTTTAAATATTTTGTAAATAATTACATGTTTTTTATATACAACTTAAAAACTTACCCATTCCTTTATTTTGTAACATTTCTAACAATTTCTTGATACTTTCGTCTCTTGCTTGTAAAGTTTGTTTTTGGGTTTCTATACGAAGTTCTAATTCCTGAAACAGAAAATTTAATTATTTAAGTTAAATAGATAATAACGAAAAAATTATCATACATATTTGATTTAAAAAAAATAACACTACCGTTTTTCTCTATTAGATACAATAAAAAATTAACCAAACTAAATATACGTGATAGTTTTATCAAGGAAAAATTCAAAAACTGTTTGGTATGTATTAGTGACCGACTTAAAAAATCAAAATTTTAAATTTTTATAATTAACACATTGTTGAGTCCGGCGCCGGATTTTTGCCAAAAAATCCGCAAAAAGTCGATCACGTGATTAATCGACGACCCCTTATCAACTCATGAAGACGCAAAAACGTTTTTGGTACTACTACAGAACTATCTATATAAATACTATAAAATAGAACAATGGACTCGCAAATTGAAAATTAGAAATTCATGTTACTTTACCGAAAGGAGAGGAGTTTGCTCAAATATAAAAATTAAGTAACTATGTTAAACTTGGGACCTTACCTCCACAGAGGACTCGCATCAGGGCATAGCGTAAACAAATAGATGAAAAATTTCGTGAATTCTATTGGCTAATTGTAAGAAGCTCTAAGATGTCATATGAGAATAAGATTCTCATAAACAAAACAGTAATAGTTGCCAATATGGACATAACGAATTGAGCTTTGGGCATATGCGAGCACGTCCGATATAAAAACCATCCAGAGAGCACAGTCAAAAATATTAAGAGCCATATAAGTAAACGCGCAATGGTATGTCTCCAACGATACAATACACCGAGGTTTAAAAATTAAATATGTATTTAATATTATTCAAGGGTATATGTATTCAAGGGTAAAAGAGTAAGATGTGTAGAGACGAAATATCGAAGCGCGTAAGCGTCGCGTCGCGTTGCAGTCTAACGGATAAACATAGGTACGGAACTCATAGAAATAAAAAAACTTTAAAGTAAAAATTAATAAAGTAAACTTATATCGGTCTAGCCTGAAATGTAAACAAAATTTGTTCCTATTATTAAAGTCTCTTTAAAATATCTGATAATTTGGTGTGCGTATGTCTAATGATCATTTTTGACCGCCAAGTGGCTTTTTTATCGGATCTTCCAAACCGCTGCTTTGCCAAAAAAAATTTCAGTTCTCCATTTTGTCAATACAAATAAAATGTTTTTTGAATCATTCAAATCGGACGCTCCGTTATCTCATACATTAAAATACCATTTTTAGCCCTTTTTGCTCCGTATCTTGGAAACGGCTGGACCTGCCGTCGTCTCGTCGTCCAGTCAATACGAATCGAGTGATTTTTTAATTATTTAAATGATCGTCTGACCCGTGTTCACGAAATCGTCGGCGAAAAGTATCGGAATACACACACACACATCCATTTTTTCTAAGGTATGCCAAAATGTTCAGAAACGTAGAGATATATAAAAATTTTCATTTTGGATTTTTACGGGAAGTTAAAAAAAATTATAGTGCAGTAAACGGAGCGTTTTGGGTCTGATTTTTTTACTGTGCTCCGAATTGCATGAAATTTTGAAATTACGTTCATCTTACCCTCAAGTTCAAAAGTGAAAACAATTCGGGTTCCGCTACCACCCCCCGGGAGGGGGGGAGGTTGAGACTCTTTAATAAATAAGTGGACCTTGAGCCGTTTTATCGCTAGAAAACGTTTTTAATATTGAAGGATATAATTAAACAATATTTTTTAATACATTTACCTTGCAATAAAATCATTTTCAACCCTGTGAAACCCCTAAACCTTTCAAATAACATTGGTTCAAAAAACATTCGATTCCTATTGATAGGGAGATGTGCTGATTAGTTTTTGGCAAAGGCAGATCCAGCCGTTTCGGAGATATGGAGCAAAGAGTGCAGAAAATAGAAATCGAGTTTTTGAAAGATCGCAGCATCCGATTTGAATGATCCAAAAAACATTCAATTTGTATTGACGGGGAGAAGGAGTGATTAGTTTTTGGCAAAGGCAGATCCAGCGGTTTTGGAGATACAGAGCTAAATATGCAAAAAATGGCAGTTTTTGAGAGAACTAAGCGTCCGATTTAAATGATTCAAAGAACTTTCTGCTTGTTTTAACAAAATAATTGATTTTGAAAAAAAAATTTTTCAAATTTCTCGAATTTTTTTTTAATTTTTTTTGTATATCGAAAATAATTCAGATTTTATTTTTAATTCTGACTAAAGTTCCAATATACTTTAAACAAATAATTTCAACTTTGCAATTCAGTTTAAATAATTCTTATAAATATTAGACAATGTTACAGTATTTATAATAATCTATTACCCCACTAGTTTGAATATATACCTATTTAAAAATTTGTTTTTTGTACCTTAATCGTATCCCTGAGTATGGCGACTTCTCTCGTCAAATGTTCGTTTTCTGAAAAGAGCATCTCCAGCTGCTGTTGCATTTCCAACGAAGGTGCACGCATTCGTATTCGTAATTCTTCCTCCAATTGTCGCACCAACATTGCTTGTTTCTGGAAATAATTGAAATAAATATCAATATGTTTATCATAATAATTTTGCTAAGATTACTTATTCTTATAAAATTGTATAACATTTATCAATTAAATTGCCATTATTACAATTTATTACAATTAACATTAATTCAAAACAACAATTAATTACGAAAAAACGGCCCGAACGTTCTTTACTAAAAACAAATCAGCACGATTTTTAAGTGATATCTTTCAAACACTTTTCAAATTTTCAAAATTGGTGCAGGAGGTTTGGTGACAACCTTGGTTCATTTTTTTTAATTATTCTGAGAATAATGAGAAAGTGCTCGGCCGATCGTCTCGCAAAAATAATCAACGCGGTACCTTATCGAGTTTCATCAAATGGCTTTGAACTTTATGAATTCCTTTCATCTCTTTTTTTTTGAATTGACGACAATTAGTAAAATGTTAGCTCAAACACAAAAACATACTTGCACACACAAATCTTCGACTTTTTCAAGTAAACACGAAATTTAAACTATTATGAACTTCTCCTTCGGGAATTTTTAATTAGCATTTTGTTCTTCCTGATATCTTATATATAATTTTTTTCTGTGCGGATGTATGAATGGAAACTCCCCCTACACGGTTATTTGAATTTAGATAAATCTTTTTGAAGTTTGTCAAGGGGAATTTTTAAGATGTAAATAATTTTTAAAATATAGTAATATTGTAGAAATAAATGGAAAATATTTCAAAAAACATGTCATTGTTTGACATTGAAAACATTTTTACAAATGAGAACTATCATCTGCCAGAAATTTTAATTCTCTTATGATTTTGAATAAGAAAAATGTTATGTCCACATTATTATTGCCGAAAAGCTTCTGAGATGTACCAGAAATTAAAATAAGATACAGTATATGTTGGCAGATAAAATTATATAATTCAGTTTGACAGATTATTTGTTTAACTGTCGTATGCCGTATTTTGCCTCACTTACTAAATTATTTCACAATACAAAATTTTTTTTACTTATTTGAAAAATTATTTACAAGTTTCATTCAATACAAAAATGTTTTTTTAACTTCCCGAATGAGAAGTTTGTGTTCATCAAAAAATCCGATTCGCTAATTTTATGTTTTCTCGACGTTTCAAGCCATTCTGAATCGAATGACACCAAATTTGGAAAAAGTATATGTGTGTGTGTGTGTGTATGTGAGCAGATTTTTTTCCGTAAATAGACGTTTTTTCAAAAACGGCTGGACCGATTTCGAAAATTTAAAAGCCATTCGATGTATCTCGATGAGGACTGTCGTTTGTCAGTTTCGGGCTACGATCGGCCGAGCCGTTTTTTTTGTAAGTCGCAAAAAAGCGAAAAAATTTTCGTCGACGTTTTAGCCCGCAATTCTGAATCGATTATGAAAATTCAAAAACCGTTCGAAAGATATTGGTTGGGAATCGTGCTGATTAGTTTTTGGTAGAGATGGGCCGGGCCGTTTTCTTGTAATAAAGTGTTAAAATTTTTTTTTTGATTTTTATTATTATTTTTTGACGATAGATACCATAGTCCTCTAGATCATACTAAAATATTACGGCCCTACGACAATCCGTTTAACTTTAAAAATTCGTCAAAGTTTGCAAAAATTGGTTTCGTTCTTTTGGCATTTATCAAAATTAGAACTTTAATCGACGTTTTCTCAAAAACGCCTGAAGCGATTTCAGAAATTTAAAAGCCATTTGATGTATCTCCATGAGAACTATCGATTGTCAATTTTGTGCGACGATCTACCAAGCAGTTTCTTTACTATTTGGAAAAAAGTGTTAAACGTTTCGTCCACATCTAAGCTTATACTACCGAATCGATTTTGAAAAATCAAAAACTGTTCGAAAGTTATTAGTTGGGAATGATACTGATTAGTTTTAGGTGAAAATCTACCGAGCCGTTTTCTTGTAATTAACTGTTGAAAAAAAAAATTAATCCGATTTTTATGGAACTTCTTTGGCGATAAATATCATGGTCTTATAGAACTTACTGAAATATTACGGTCTTACGACATGTAGTTTAATTTGCAAAATTCATCCAAGTTTGAGGACATGAGTAGTTTTTTAAAGTTTTTTTAAATTAAAATTAGACGATTTACTTGGTATAATGATAGAGTACTTGGTCTTAATGAACATACTGAACCATTAAATCCTATGGAAACTGGTTCAATTATAAAAGTTGTTGATTTTTGAAGATTTGCTCTTAGAAAATACTCCGAGTTATCGTGTTCGTTCGTTTTTATACTTTACTCATAAAAATAATTTATTTTTCATTGATTAAGTCGATTATTTACACATATCGGGAAGTTCATGTAACTTGCCTCAAGGCAAAATACCAATACCAACTAGATTAATTCTTTATTATGGAATGTATTTGAATTGTTGATGATAGCACAACTACTACTACAATTCTAATTTTTGTTACATGTTTTAATAATCATTAGGTAGCATAATTATATTTATAGTTAAAATACTGAGCTATGGCGTAATTGGCATTTTCTCATAAAGCTGGTTTCATGAACCTGTCGACGTTTATAGATAACACTGCATGACAGTAAATATTTTCATGGCGCGTTATGATGGCTTTTAAGTAATTCGTGGACGCTGATTCCGAAAAAAGTAACAGAACTTTGCTCACAGGCCGTTGTGAGCATTATGCTAGTTTTACCTCAAATTACAATAAAAATACCACATATTTTATTAACTTCCCGTAGGGCAAGTTATAGTAATCGCAAAAAAATCGAAAATGAAATTTTTTATATATCTTTACGTTTCAAAGGTTTCTGAATATTTTGGCATACCTTAGAAAAAATGAATGTATGTGTGTGTGTGTGTGTGTGTATGTGCGTGTATGTATGTGTGTGCGGATACAAATTTTCGTCAACGATTTCGGGAACACGGATGAAGCAATTTGAAACATTCGATTTGTATTGATAAGGAGACGTGCTGATCAGTTTTTGGCGGAGGCAGGTCTATCCGTTTCGAAGATGTGGGGCAAAAAGTGCCAAAAACGGTACCTCAGTTTTTAAGAGAACGGAGCGTCCGATTTTAATAATTCAAAAAACATTTTACTTTGTATTGACAAGATGAATAATTGATCAAATTTTCATGAGGGCAGGTCTAGCGGTTTCGGAGATCTAACAAAAAAAGTAAAAAAAAAATGCCATTTGGCGGTCAAAAATGATCATTAGACATATGCACATCAAATTATCAGATATTTTATAGAGATTTTAACAATAAGTATGAATTTTTTCTACATTCCTATGGGTTTCGTACCAATGTTTATCCGTTAGACGGCGACGCGGCGCTTACGCGCTTTGACATTTTGTCTCTATGCAGTTAAAGCAGTACGATTGCTTTGAAAAAAGTGAAGATCTTAAAAAATATGTCAAAATAAAGAAAACATTTTTTTTTTCAAAAAAAAAAATAAAAAAAAAAAAAAAATTCTTTCAAAAAAAGTAATTTTTTGTCTAATTTATAGTTTCTCAAAAATCTTATTTTTTCGAAGTAATTTTTTTTCAAAAATGTTATTCGTTTTTAAAAAAATAATAATTTTTGGTACGGGAAGTTCCAGCAATTTGCCTTAAGGCACGATGCCTTAATTGCCTTAAGACAGAATTCCACTTACAGCTAGTTTTATTTTATGCTAAGGGTTATTTTATTACATTTTAGACTTTTAGAGCATGGGAGAGGTCTGACTGATTTCGTCGTAAGCTCCAATATTTATTAACCACATGTGGACGTCTTGTCTCTCTTGATATCGCTCCTTCAAAAACCTGATATATTGGTGGATTTTTTCGTCTAACCACCTTACTTTCTTCTAGATTTTAATCAAAGAATTAACGAATCCTGGGTTTTTTGTGAGTCATCAAATATATCAATTTTTAACTTAGAATATATCACTTTTTTAACTTTTAACAATCTTCGCTTTTTCGATTGACGCTGGTCTGTCAATCCATTACACGAAGGCAGAAGATTTTGATGTTCGTTCTAAGTTGATCATCATGAGAATGGATGATATAGCTGATTGTAAGTAGACCCCAATAGCATTGGGAGCAGTTGACAAGTTGCTTCTATTGGCTGAATTTGTTTCATTGATATTTAACACACAGAAGAAACAGTCGTCGTGGAGATTGCGGAGTTTTTTTCTAAATGACGGGAGATTTGTACATTAAAGTAAACACACTTTGCAATTTTGGCACATAGTGTGAAGAACCCATGTTTTATCTTGATTGCGCAATTCAATTTTAAAGGGCTTTAAAGACGCTGTCTTTACGCAGTTTGATATAGGTTTTCAGTATTTGTCGAAAACAACATCATCACAGATGTATCGGAAACTATCTGGATTATGCACATTACATTTTATAGTCAGATCCATATCAAAACAACAGATAAAACGTTTAGTTATTTTAAATTGCGATAATCATAGCCATAATGACTAATGGGGGTAATTCCCCAAAACTCAAAAACGGGAGCTGTTACGGACAAATGGATGGTATGTTTAAAATCAGCGTACAGTTTTAAGCAGATTTTGAAAAGAAGTTAAAAAAAACAGTAACTTGTAAAGAAGTTACATTAACTTAATCAATAAGAATTGGGATTTAGTTTATTAAGGAAGTTTATTATTTCAAACTTCAACGAATTTTTATAATTAAACCAATTTTTATAGGCCTGTAATTTTTTAGGATGCTTGTTTAGTTAGATCATCAATCTTATCATTGTGCAAAGTTTTATTAAAATCGTTTAAGAAAAAGTTAAAGTTTAGTTTTAAGTGTTTGAATTAGCAAAATAAATTCCGGATTTTACAAAACTAATTGATGCGAGCCTTCGTTCATTTTGGTGTGGCCTTCTCGATCTCGAAAAATTCAGAGTTACTTAAAACTTTCAGAAAGCATGAAATTATCAAATATTCCGATTTTTGGCGAAAATATAAGCTTCTCCTTCGTGAAGGTAAAAACATAAAAAAATAAAAAAAGAGTTTTACAAAATTTCTA